CTCATCTAGGTTACATTAATTTTATTTTTGTTTTTAATTTCATATAAATATATTAATATTTTATCATCATCATCATCATTATATAAAATCTTAGTTAATTTTTTACATGTTCGATATTTTAGTTTTTCACATATTTCTTTATTCTAGTTATCAATATTTTACACTTTATAGTTTACATTCGTTTTCAGATTTATGAGTTATATTTTCTACTTTATAAATTATTATGGTTTTTTTTAATATTATAAAATTATCTAGACATATACGTATAAAAAATTTATAGATCTTTCTATTTTGTATATATTCCAATTTAAAAAAACTATTCTTAAATAAAATTTTATAATTACTCTTCTTACTTTTTTATAGTTTCAAAACTTTTTTATCTATTTTTTCAATTTTTGTTTATAATTTTTTAACTATTCTAAACTTTTATATCTATCTATCTATCTATCTATCTATCTATCTATCTATCTATCTATCTATCTATCTATCTATCTATTTATCTATCTATCTATCTATCTATCTATCTATCTATCTATCTATCTATCTATCTATCTATCTATCTATCTATCTATCTATCTATCTATCTATCTATCTATCTATCTATCTATCTATCTATCTATCTATCTATCTATCTATCTATCTATCTATCTATCTATCTATCTATCTATCTATCTATCTATCTATCTATCTATCTATCTATCTATCTATCTATCTATCTATCTATCTATCTATCTATCTATCTATCTATCTATCTATCTATCTACCTACCTACCTACCTACCTACCTACCTACCTACCTACCTACCTACCTACCTACCTACCTACCTACCTACCTACCTACCTACCTACCTACCTACCTACCTACCTACCTACCTACCTATCTATCTATCTATGAGAAATCATCATGTCAGGCCGGCCTGACGGGCTGCCCCGTCCGGCCGAGTCCATTTGGGCACCTTCCCGGTGGAATTTTTTGATGAAATTTTTTTAGCATGTTCCTCATCAAGTCTAGCTTGTCCATACCAAATTTCAGCTCAAAATTCGATCGGGAAGGTCGTCAAATGATTTTTGCAAGTTAACTGGTCCGGAATATGTATTTTCCGGACCAGTTACTTGCAAAAATCATTTGACGACCTTCCCGATCGAATTTTGAGCTGAAATTTGGTATGGACAAACTAGACTTGATGAGGAACATGCTAAAAAAATTTCATCAAAAAATTCCACCGGGAAGGTGCCCAAATGGGCTCGGTCGGACGGAACATCCCGTCAGGCCGGCCTGATGAGAAGAGCACTCATCTATCTATCTATCTATCTATCTATATATATAATTTCACTAAAATTTTCTCATTTGCTTTTTGAAATTTGAATTTAATTCTTTTATTTTTAAAATTAAATAACGAAGTTTCCAATGTTTCATTTTCCTTTATTTTTCTTGATTTTAGTTTGAGTTCATTATTTGTAAATCACCGCATTTAATTTCATTTTGTAGAATTCTAAAAATACAGATATTTTTGATTTTTGGATGTGTAAATTATTTCTATTTCTTTTCATATTTGTTTTTACTATTTTAAATCTACTTTAAATTTTTACAGAAAAAAGTTTTCTAAATGTATAGAGAACTTATAAATTTTTATCAGTGTTTTATACGTAAAACATACGAGTATATTTATGATTTTTTTTACTTCATAATTTCCATAAGTGATACGGAGTATAAAGGCAAATAGTACGTACTATGTACAAAGTTTAAGTCTCTACAATATTATAAGAGGGAATATTGTCAGGGGTTAAACTGTGATAAAAAAGATGTTGGTGTCTCTTCATGCATAATGTCATTGCACTTTATACTTACTTTGTTGTACACTGTTAACATGCTAGCAGCTTCCGTTACTAACGGAAATGATTTCAACCTTATACCCTTACGGAGGATATAACCTGTTCGCAGCTTCCACATTCAATTTACAGAGGATATAACCTTTCAGCTCCTCTCTTCGTTTCAGCCTCTCAGATTCTCCGCTCAAAGGTCATACTAACAATATGGTAAAAATCATTTCCAGGGTTTTGAGAGTCAAGACTAACCTAGAGACTGTGTGGTAGTGCCTCTTGTGCCACTGTCTTGAATAGACTAAGACAATAGTAGAGCTGTATATCGATACTATGGTTTTAATGTAACAATTCATCATGATGTTAATTATTTAGAATATTTACCATGTAAGAGATCACTCCAGTCCAACTGAAGAATGAAAAGTGTTTTGTAATTAGGGAGAAAAGAATTGGTTTATTTTGTTTGATACATAGTAGTTTATTATTTTTTTACTTTTGTTTTAGATAAATAAGTCTGTGTGGTGGCTAGATTTAAGGTTCTATAGTAAAGGATTTGGATTGTATCTCTCAAATGAAATACTCCCTCTATCCCTAAAACATAGTTCAGGTTTAAGAAGTATTTTTATCCCAAAAAGTCCTATCTTCAAGTCGACTTTAATCTTTACTCAAGATCCTAAAGCCAATCTGCATGTGTTTTAGTCAATTGCTTAATGTTATGAGTATGATTCACCATCATAATTTGTAAATGCTTATACTTTGATTGAACCGACCAATTGTGGCAAGTTATACCTTACTGAAATGAAACATGAGTTCTTATGAGATGGAAGTAGCAAAGTGGTACATGTAAATGACCCTTAACATATGGCTAAAAGGAAGGAAAATTTTCTGAAGATGTATGAAATTGTATTACATATCCTTATCATTGAATGACCATTGAAGAAAAAATGTAACTCGTGAGTTATTTTTGCAGGTCATTTTCTATATGTAATCTATTTGTACTTACATAGTTATGTTTCTTTGAGATGTCTTCTTGTACCAATTCTTTTTTATTATTATTCGTTGACCCGTGGTTGACTTCATTGTATAAAGAGCATATATGGAGTTAATAGGAAGGCAAATTTTATGAAACTATGCAAACATGCTTAATATATAGTTATACCTTAATTAAGAATGTTCCAAATCATTTTGCTTCACTTTTTTTTTCTTTTATTTAGTTTTTATTTTGTTAGTTTATTTTCTAAAGAGGCCTACCCCTAAGGTATAAAGAAGGAACTTAAGTGAAAAGAGACCGGTTAAAACCAAGACTCACAATCACACATATTCCTTATGCATCCAAATTCGTCAAATTCAATTAGGAAAGACCACCATTCTAACTCAAGAACTTAGTCCTTTTTTCAAGTGGGATAAGATAGATTCGGATACAACTAATACATGTGATCGAATTCATCAAACACTCCATTAGTATCGTTGTCAATTTTTCACCTTTTAGAGACTAATTTAAGCTTCTATGTACTTGTCACTTTTTTCCGCTACTTCCATGACTACAACTGTTTCCTAGAACTCTTGTTTTAATTTTCTCCGTGCACTATTACCCAACAAATATTTGACCATTTTTTCAACCAAAACATTTTTGTGTTTGTTATGTGTCTTTTCATATAACACAAATGCATGCTACTTTTTCATGAGAACCTTACTCCTACAATTAGGGTTGTTATAGGGGGTGTTTGGAACTGATTCTGCTTCTGCTTCTTTTTTAAAAGCAGAAGCAGAATCAGAATCAGTTTTCAGAAGCTGGTACCTCCCAACTTCTAAAAAAACTGATTCTGAGAGTAAATTAGAGCTCCAAAAGTGCTTCTGGAATTTCACCCAAACACTCCAGCTTCTGCTTCTGCTCCCTGAAGGAGCAGAATCAATTTTGAGAATCAGATCCAAACACCCCCATAGTCATATTGGCTGCTTTATTTTAATTCCCACATGCATATGATCTAACCCATACATACTTTATTGTTTATGATTCCTTATCAATAAATAACAAACTATGTATGCAAATATTGTATTCATATTACTCATATATTCATTCAACATAAATTGAGGAATTAATATCCCTACAATCACCTTGGGCATTACCATGAACGCGCAACGCGCGTTACTAAACTAGTTTAAACATAAGGATGTTGACCGCTTAGCTTGGGGTCTATTTTTGAAAACAAAAATCAAACATGAAAACGTGATACTCTTTCCATCCTGAAAAGATTGACCAAATTTTCCTTTTTGGATATCCCAAAAGATTTATCATAAAGAATGTATGGCTAAAATTAATTCTATATGCTCTGCACAAATGTCAAACACACAACTTTTACTTTATTAATCTACGTGAAAGTCAACTTTGGTCAACCTTTTCAGAAAGAAGGGAGTATAATTTTGGGAAAGTTCCCGAAATAGAACTAAAATGGTTTGAAACTTTCAAAAGAGGACTGTCATTTTTTTTTATTCCCAAAATAGGAGTAATTACTGTCAAGTTTGAAAAATGCTGCCATGTTTGAAGTCTGGTACTGCCAAAACGTGACAGTAATTAGTCTTATTTTGGGAATAAAAACATGACAGTCATATTTTGGAATTTTCTAACCTTTCTAGTTCTATTTCGAGTAATATTCTCTATAATTTTTAGTTTTTGAACTTCGTAAAAAATTCGCAATTAAAAATTAAGGGAAAATAATTAAAATACCCAAACTTTGAAAAGATGTGAGATAAACGCTCCAAACTTTCATATGTACATTAAATACCCCAAACTTTATATATAAAAAATATTTAGCACCATGTTCATGTATTATATCTTTCAAAAATGTAAATTTATAGTGTTAATTGCAAAATTTAAAATGGCAAATCTAAAAGGCTGCAATTATATAGAGTGAGGGTAATATTATTTGTTTTAGGATGAAAGTTTAGAATGTTAACTGTATCTTCATGATTGCTAAAATATTTTAAATCGTTAAATTAACACCAAAAATCAACATTTTCTAAAGAAAAAATACATAAATATATGACTATAGTGCTAAAATGACTTTTTATATAAAGTTTGAGTTGTTTAAATTACATATGCAAGTTTGAAATATTTAGCTCACACCTCATCAAAGTTTGACATATTTTATTTATTTTCTCTAGAAATTATTGGCCCAATGAGATTAATAGCATGGCCAAGCCCATTGCCCAAAGGGAGGAACTTCCCGTAACCCAACTCGGCACTTCGGCGAATCGCACGGAAGCAAGACCGCAGTCGGCCAGTCGCAGTCCCGCAGCCTCACGCCGCCGCATCCTGCTGCGTGGTTGTTTGCTACTCACAATCTCACTTTTCAGCTTGTGGCCTTGTGGGAGTTCTGGCTGAGTGGCTGCCTTCCATAGCTCCGCTAATTGCCCAAGCCCCAGGCAATAGGTAAGTCATAAACTTATAACTCATATGTGTATTTTTTTTTTAAATTTAAGTAGCTAAGAGCTTAAAATCTTGATTCTTGAGATTGAGTGTTTTTTTTTACTTATACGAATTTTTTAGAATGTAAACTGTGAGTTTCTGCTAGTTTTGATGAATAATATTCGTCATTGTGTGATTTCATTTGCAAAATTGGAAATTAGGATTGTGATTTTTAACATATTAATATGAATATGAATACTGTGATTGAAAATAATATAGTGTTTATTTTATCAATGGCTGCCATTCTAATTAGTTATGGACTTATGGCTACCCATTCTACATCTAAAAAGGCAAAAACCACGCTTCATTGTTTTTTAAGTCTTCTACAAATACAAATGCCTAGATTGGAACTTTAACTATTTCACCTGTTCAAGAGGAATTAGTTTCTAATGAAGTTGAAATTGAGCGATATTCGGGAAAATGGAAAAAATAAGTCATTGGCCGTTAGAGAAAACTGATGAAATCAGACGATCTCATTTGATGCTTTCACCTTATCAATCAAAACCCAAAGGCTGAGTTAAAGAACATCTTGTTCAGTTAACATTTTAGTTTCATATATTGTATTATTGTATGTACTTAAAAATATTGGTATGAATTTAAATGGATTTTAAACATTATGTTCGAATTGTTTACTCATTTAAGGTTTTTACATAGTTTTTTTAGTTTACAACCGCCCCGTGAACCTCCGTCTTGACTACGTTCCTGTCTCCCTCATTGATGCTTTTCTTTTTGGTTTATAAGTTTGAATTTATTCACTCTAAAATGAAGTGAAGAAATACTGAGTTTGTGTTTCTTACTTTCTTTTGATCTTGTTAGAAAGTGCTCAACTTTATCTTTATTTATAAAGTGGTTGACAATGGGATACTTTAGGCTCTTCAAGAACTCCTTGGGTTGAGCCAAGAGAGTGGGTAAATTTTTAATTGTTACTTCTGCCCAAGTTCACAATTAAAGATGCTTGACTCACTTGACTGATTGAGTCTCAGACCAGACCACATGAGACTTGACATAAGCATATGATACAATACCAGAACAAAAATGTGGTCAAGGCTTAGATAATACTACCTCCGTCCCTTTCATATTGGGACGGAAGATGGTGGCACGATTATTAAGAAAAGTGGGTTTGTGTGGTTAATATTAATTGATAAAGTAAGAATAAAGTAAGAATGATCTAGAGCCACACAAACTTTACCAAATATGGTCTGAGACAATTTTATTGAGACTTCCCAAAAAGGTAAAATGGGACAATATAAGGGGATGAAGGGAGTAGTAAAATACCCATAATACCAACTTCACTGAATTAGACCTGAAATTTCAGTACAAGTGAAAATATCCTATTTTGAATTTTAGTCTACATCCAGAAATACTTTTCTGGAACAATCAAATATTGATGATATATTAAATCATTAAATCATACTCCGCATTCCTAATCTGATTATATAGGAAACATATATTACAGATGATGTTATCCAGACAAACTTTGAAATGCTACACGTACATGGGAATATTTTAAAAAAACATGCATCATTAATCACTACCCGTAATTCAAATCAATCTAGCAACGCAGACTCTCATACTAAACAAAGTAACATTAGTAGAGTTCTCTGACTCGCACAAATCATTTACCCAAAATAAAGTAAACATGTAAAAACAATAGAGTTTAAACTAACTAACATTAGTAGAAACATATTAGCGAGGAATAACCCAAAGAGCTCTGTGTCCAACCATGTCACCTTGCCTCATGTAACACCAAAAGAACACATCGTCTTGCTAAAAATACAACGTCCAACTGCCACCCTACGACAACGGTTCAGGAGGGAGAGACGTTAAAAAAATAGGAGATCATGGTTGTGAGCCTAAAGATCCCAGGGAAGATATGAAATAAAGATTCCCTAAAAAATACAACAAAACTCCTTGAACCACCCAACTTTTCCAAACATCTCCATCTCCTCCTTTGAATAGAAATTTTTCAGTTTACTCGTGACTGTCTTGAGTCTTCCATGTCGAACAACGTTCTTTGAAGTTTGAACCATCAAGATCCATCATCCATCCAAGACATGCTGTTTTTTCACTTCACATAGTCTACCCTAAATACAATCAACATCTACCATCACCAATCTCCATATTTGCCATCACCACAAGTAAGCTCAACAAAAGATTATTAAGGTACAAGTGCATAGGCGAGTGATACAAAACGTGTTTTAACCTGTTTTAAATTGCCATTAAGATGTTGCTGCTGTTGTTATGTGTTTTCTTAAAATATAGCTGCTTGAAGTTTGTACTGTTTAGTTGTACCTAACAACAGTGGCGGACCCAGAAAGTCGGAGGCACGGGGTCCCTACCCTTGCGTATCTCTAATTAATAAAAAACTATTAAAAAAATACGGAGTATTAAAGAAGTTAGCATAGTACTTCATAGTTAACTTACATCATCAAAACATTAAAATATTACTCCCTCCGGTTCTTAATTAACTTTACACTTTTCTTTTTAGACTGTCTCATATTAAACTTCACACTTCTTTTTCTACACCAAAACGGTGCACTTTACAGTAAAATTTCTTAATCTGTGTGAAGTCAAAGTGTCAAGTTAATTAAGAACCAGAGGGAGCATAAAGAAAAAAATTACAGGATCAGCTTCCAAAGATACAAAATCAACATGTTGTTCAGGTAGATTATCAGATAAAGAAGCTGCACTTTCAGGAATTACCTGATCCAATTCTTCATTTACTAATAACAAATCATTTGAATGAATATCTGAACTACTATGGAACTCTGAATTTCCTTAACTCTCAGTACAATACCGAAATATCTTTTCATCCTAATTCATATAATATTGAAAATAACGTTTATAAATACAAATATACTTCCCTCGTTCCCCTTTAATTGCAACAGTCAACATTTCACGTTTGTCAAGACACAAGTTTGAGCATTAATATCTTTCATTCCTTATTAGTAAAAAAAATTTTAAAAATTATATTTTGAAATTTTAGAATGAGAATAATTTAACAATATTTTTTAAAAATTCAGTTTGTAATACATTAATAAATGAAATATAGTCAAAATAGAATATATGAATAATGTAAAAAGTTCAATGTTGCAACTAAAAGAGAACGGAGGTAGTACGTAGTATTAATTTAATCTTAACATTTAAAGAAAGCTTTTTAATTCATCCCAAACAAAAGATATGCAAATTAAAAAAGAAACAATAAAAAAATGGGAAGTAAGTAAGGAGAAGCTGGGAATGGATCATGGAACCTCACTGAGGTTAAAACCCTCAAACCCACGTTTCCTACAGTTCCACTACTACGGTCTTTTGCACACCTAGTCGTTGTTGTTGTATATATACATTCCCCAATTAATTTTATATAAAATATACTACCTCCGGTTCTAAATAAACTTCACACTTTTCTTTTCGGAACGGTCCAAAATAAATTTCACACTTCCTTATTTCCTTATTTGGCAAAGAAATCTACATCAAAACAGTGTTAAACAGTGCTAAACAGTGCCAAACAGTGTCTCAACAGTGTACTCTACAGTAAAGTCAACTTTATTTCCTTAATAACTGTGAAGTCAAACACTGAAGTTTAAAAAGAACCGGAGGGAGTATATAGTAATGGCTCCATATAAGACTAAAAGAGGGGAGAAATTCTTAAATAGGACCATTTCTCCCAAATAGGACTATTTTACTCGTATCTTAAAACATACGTATATTTCATTCCACTAACACCCCTTCTCCCTTTTACGCACATCAACCCTGCGCATAACCTCCCCCTTTCTCTCCAGCGCACATTGTTCTCTTTCGTCCTTGGGCATCATCGATCGAGTTCTCCCCAGGTCATCACCGCCGCCCTCAACTTTGCCTTGCGCACCAGATCCACCAAATTTTCTCTCACGCTGCGTCTGCCATTAAGGTTCTTCTTCTTCTTTCTTCTTCCTCTTCCTCTTCCTCCTTCTTCCTCTTCATCTTCCTCTTCTTCTTCTTCTTCCTCTTCTTCGATTTTCCCTCTATTTTCCTGGATTTTGAATTGAATTTTCCAATTTTCGGAATTCTGTTTTGATTTTCTGGTTTGTAGTTTCTGAGTTTTAAAAAAAATTCTGATTTTCAACATTTTGGATGATTGTTTCAGATTTGGACAAGTTTATGGCAGAAATGTGTATATTAACATCATATTATGGCAGAAATGCTTTTGTATAAATTGGGTTTTCTGATTTTTTGGCAATAACACCGTTTATCTAATTTCTGATTGTGCTAAGAAAATCATTTCATTAAGAAATTTAGTTGTTTGAATATTTAGTTATTTACTTCATGTTTTTCACTTTTTCCCATTTTTGCCAAATTTGTGGCAGTTTTGTGTTAATATTCCAACATGAATCTCCAACTCTTTGTCATATCTGAAACTCTTGTATAATGACAGATGCAAATCTAATTTCCAACTTTAAATCTGCCAACATAATGGCAAATTTGTTCCACCTGAGTTGTGACGGTGGTTGTGGTGCTCAGAGGATGGCGGCCGGCGGCGGTGGATGCCGGCGGCATGGATGGTGATGCAGGTGTGGGAATTGGAAGCGACGGCGGCAAGGGGCGGACGATTGGTGGCAATGGTGCACCGGCACTGATGTGATAGCAGGCGGCGACAGGCGGTGCATTCGCTAGGTAGGGCGGCGACCGGCGGCTCCGTCGCTTGCGAGGGTGGAGGCAGGATGCGCCGGCGGGGTGTTTGGCTCTGGCTGCAGCAGTTCTATTTCTAGTGTTTCAATAGTTTTTAATTTTAAATTTTAAAATTTAAAATATTAAAAGAGGGGTATTTTTGTCCAACTGCTCTGAAAATGGTCCTATGAAACTTGTGATTCGTTTATAGTCCTAAATGAGCAATTAATTTTGCTATTAGTCCTATTTGAGCAATTAACTCAAATATATACTACGTATAATATATAGGTAATTTTTTCGAAGTCCACGGGGACCCGGGACCCGTGGGACCCTTAGTGGGTCCGTCTCTGCCTAACAAGGCTAACATGCTTGTCATTGTATTGTTTGGTCCAAGCCAAAACTGTCTTCATTACATAAAGTGATCTTCTAGTCTATTCTTTTGGCATGATTACTTAACATCCCAACTTATCAAGTGTGATTTTACCTGCAGTTATGGTAGGGCTATCTCTTGGAGAAAAGAACTTCATTAGAGGTGGTATTGCTCAAGACTTGCGAACAGATGGCAGGACACGGTTATCTTATCGACCCATTTATGTTGAAACTAGTGTCATCCCCCAGGTAATGTGTCTTATTTTCTCAAATCTACATAGAGTAGTTTTTCAATCTGTGTCATTTGATTTTTTTAGCCACGAATGTCGAATGGTACCTAAAACATGATTTCATAACTTGTTGATTCTTTGAAAGGCAAGTGGTTCGGCTAGAGTCAAGTTGGGTGCAACAGATGTCATCGTCAGTGTCAAGGTATTTAGTTAGACTTTACATGCATAACTTTCTCTCTTTATCCTTCCGGTTTCATAAATGTGAGTCACAGTCAAATATGGGTTCTTTCTGAAATGTTTCTGACAGGTAATAGTATTTCTGAATATTGCCTTTATGCTGTCTGTTAATTTCCTATTTGTAGGCTGAACTTGGAAAACCAAGCTCATCTCACCCCGACAAGGGAAGAGTTTCTATATATGTAGATTGCAGTCCCACTGCAGAGCCAACATTTGAGGTTGCATACATCTATTATATTGACTTTGAATGAATCTTATAATAATAACTTGTGTTGTGCTATGTTCTAATGCTACTAGTGCCTTGTTTAAATTTTGAATATGGTATAAGCAATCACTTTTGTAATATGAATCCTGTTCTCATGTGTATCATATTAAATAGTATTTATTTTGCTACCATGATATTTATACTACTCAAATGTTTAAAATAGAGCCAACATCTGCTTCAGTGGATTTTCTCCCATTCTTCTCAATGTCATTATTGTCCATTGTGGTAATATTTTCTGCAGGGAAGAGGTGGCGATGAGTTGTCTGCCGAACTGTCAATTGCTCTTCAACAATGTTTGCTTGGTGGAAAAAGTGGTGCAGGGGCTGCAATTGATCTTTCTTCCCTCTCAGTTGTGCACGGAAAAGTTTGTTGGGATCTATACATAGACGGCCTGGTGGTAAGTTCAGATGGGAATATACTTGATGCTCTCGGTGCTGCTATTAAGGTATAAAACTTATTCTTCTATTGTGAAGTGTTCTTTGTAGAAGATATTTCATAATGGTCTAGCAAGTATTTGGTCATTCCCACTTTTGGTCTCCAATTGTTGTTTTCCTACATTGGGTCCCATGAGTCGCGGTTTACCATTTTTAGTCTTTGATTATTGTGTCAATGACACCTTTGGCACTCGTTTTTGAAATTTAAATTTCTAGTCCATCGATGACCGTAACAGAGACACTTTTAGTAGTTAGCACACATGGTTTACGTTTTTCACTTATAATCTTCCGGCTATCTTGAAAGTGACACTTCCGGTACTCATCTTTGAATTTTTTCACATAGGTGGAGCACTAAAAGTGTAACTATGACAATAATAGGAGCCTTGGGACCAAAGTGTCTCTTTAAGAGTAAGTGGACTACAGATGACTACGAGTGGCATAAACTCTGCAACTATAGATGTTTTGTCACTTATGGTCCTGTTTACTTAACTGGTCAAATCGTGATTAACTTTTGCAGTTTTGCTGGATAAGTTGTTGGAAATGGCCAAAGTGGCAGAAATCATTGTCATGCTCCATAAGTTAAAAAAATGACCATTGTAATAATGAATAACAATGGTCTAATGTGACAAGAGTCACAAGACCAAAAATGGAATTTCTTTTCTTTTATATACCAAAACTGACTTTTTGATCAATCTAAATAATCATAATGTTTTATGTAAAAGTGTTGCCTTGAGATGCTTCACCATGTAAACAGTTTATTTGAATAGTTTTTTTGCACTTGCAGGCTGCTTTGAGTAATACATGTATTCCAAGAGTCCAAGTATCTGCTGATGCTTCACCAAATGAACAGCCAGAAGTTGATGTGAGTGATGAAGAATTTGTTCAGTTTGACACTAGTAGTGTCCCTGTTATAGTCACTTTGACAAAGGTAACTGGAACTATTATTCATGCTGTTGTTCATGCTGCTTTCACATTTTGTTTGTATTTCTTAAAAAAAATTAACAGACAGATATGAATCTCTCACTTTGAGCAGGTAGGTAGGTTCTGTATTGTAGATGCCACTTCAGAAGAGGAATCCCAAATGAGCTCAGCTGTGTCCATTTCAGTTAATAGGAAAGGTCATATTTGCGGGGTGAGTAAGCGAGGTGGTGCAGCTTTAGATCCAGCTGATATACTTGACATGATACACAAAGCACAGGTTGTTGGCGATGAGTTAGTCAACAAATTGGATTCTCTGATAGCAGCAGCTGAAGCACGCGGGGAAGAGGAATCTGAATCATGACATTGTTTGTTCATTGTATGCACACTTTTAGATAGTGACTTACTTCTTTTGGGAACTATCGTTTTTGTCATTGGGCATACGTCAAAGTGTTGTTTGGATCTTTGAAAATTTTCACTCTGCATACATATCACATATATGCATTCTAGCTTACAGTTGTATCATTTTTCTTCAACTGTTGTATTTCAGCCGTTGCATTATCAGTTCTTTCCAAGATAAGATTTTGTGGAACGTATGTCGTTTTTTATCCTTGTGAGAAAAGACGTGTTGTATCGTGTATGCAATACCTTGTCAATTTTGTGAAATGATCCCCACCGTGAATTTCTCTCCTATTTGAAAGGCCGAGAGAGGTATGTCATTTGTGAAGGTCATGACATAAAAACAGACTACAATGGAGGATGCCCTTAAAGTAGAAAATAACCTTTTTCAGAGTTCCCGATGATCAGGTGGATACTTCTATCTGTTTTGTTAAATGCAACATTTTTGACATGGATGAGTTTCGAACTTGTAACATCCGTCTTGGAAGTGTCACGACGATGTCATCGAATCACACGATGCTTGATCTATTATTTCCCCCTTTGCTCTAAGAAATGTGTTTTGTTTTGAAAAAGTTTGCTAATAAAACATATTTATTACTCCGTATATTTTATATGAAAAAATGTTTGACAATTACAATAGCACATTGCATTTATATCAATTTCAGTTAAATTATAGTATGATATCTCTATTTCAAAACTTGTTAGGCGCTAGTCAAGCGGTTAAGGAGTGAGTATATCTGATTAGTGAGTATATTTGAGTTATAACAATACAGTTAATTAGAATTGAATGAAATTTATTTTAGAGGAAAACAATAATGATTTTATTTGTTCCATGTTCGTTTTATCATGTACTTTTTATCCTATTTAAGGATTTTTGTTTGGAAAAAGATGAAATTTTATACTCCCTCTATATTTAAATGTTCACTACACTAGCTTTGGACACAATATTTTAGGATAAAATAGTAGGGGTAATGAATAGTGTAGAAAAAGTAGGAGAAAATGTGTAAAAGTATGAAAGAGAATATAAAAAGTGGATAAAGTAAGGGTAATTGAGTATTTTATTAAAGATAAATTCACCAAAAATGGAAGTGTAAGGAACTTTTAAATACAACCCAAAAAAGAAAGTGTAGGAAACTTTTAAATACGGAGAGTATATAGAGAGTATATGAGTACGTTTACAAACAATAAAAATGGCATTTTCCTTACTAAAATAAAAGTTCAGAGATAAAAATGTGATTAAAGTATAGATGAGCAGCTTCTTATGAATAAAACTCGACTAGTCTTTTAAAAGTAAATTCATATACTTGAATTTATTTAAAGAAAGTCCAAGTCTTTTTCTTGTCGCCTGTCAGTTGATTTTAATTAAATAAATTAATCATCCCCAGATCTACTGACATTGCTTGATTGATGGCGAAGGAATTCAACGTCCCGCCGGTGGTATTCCCGTCAGGCGGGAACCCGGGCCCACAACAAAGGCGACTTCCGACGGCCCCATTTCAGCCACCCAAAGCGTCGACGCCCAGCATCCCATTCATGTCCTTCGACATCGGCTCCGCCGCCGCGGCCGCTTCAACCTCGTTTTCCACTCCCCAGTTCGCTCCCACCACTATCGGCGGCGGCGCCACTGGTTTCGAGGATGAACCGCCACTTCTGGAGGAGCTGGGGATCAACACCAAGCAAATCTACCAGAAGACCCTCTCAATCCTGAACCCGATCCGCGTCAAAGCGTATCTTCACGAGGACGCCGATCTGTCGGGGCCATTCCTGTTCCTGATGGCCTTCGGTCTCTTCCAACTGCTTGCAGGGAAGCTCCATTTCGGGATCTTACTGGGCTGGGTGATCATGGCTTCTTCATTTCTGTACGTGGTGTTCAACATGCTGGCAGGGCGGAACGGGGATTTGGATCTGTACAGGTGCGTGAGCTTGATCGGGTATTGTATGTTGCCCATAGTGATCTTATCAGCCGTCTCTCTGTTCTTGCCGGGAGGGATGGTGATCAATGTTGTAGCTGGGGTGTTTGTGTTATGGTCTACAAGAGTTTGCACTAAGCTTCTGGTTGAGCTGGCTTCTTGTGGGGATGAACACAGAGGCCTCATTGCTTATGCTTGCTTCTTGATTTACACTTTTTTCTCTTTGCTAGTCATCTTTTGATCCCAAACCTCAGTTTTGATTCTTGCAAACCTTGTTTCTTTGTTACGCTCAAAGATTAGTTAGTTTATAAGGAGTATGTATTTGTTATTCTTTGAATGCCCTAGTGGAATCCAATTTTTTGACATTTTGGATATTAGTTTAGTGGTGAACTGTGCAGTTTGAATATCATAAGTTTACACTTGACAGTAATAAAGATAAAATGCTAACATTATTTGCCATGAGGTCTATTTTTTGTTAGTGAAGTGTTTTTCTTAGGGGGTGTTTGGACTTGATTTCTTAAAATTGCTTTTGCTTCTTCAGGGAGCAAAAACAGAAGTTGAAGTGTTTGACTGAAAGTGTAGAAGTTGGGGGAGACCGAAAATTGATTCTGATTCTGCTTTTGCTTTAAAAAAGAAGCAAAAGCAAAATGAGTTCCAAACACCCTTAGTATTCGTTTGATGCTGATAAACGAAAACATTATTTCAAACTTCCAATATTTTTTTGGATTAAATCCAAGTCTTCATGTAGTATCAAGTTATGACTTGATTGTTTGTTTGAACCATGGGGGTTGTCTATCGAATTATCCGTATATCCACTTTCAGGCTATATATGGATATAATTTTACTCATTACTATTCAAGCAAATAACAACAAACTACGTTTTCATTTTCGATCCTATATCAAGGCAGGCAACAAAACCCCCAAATGATCTCCATCTTTCCAAACCAAACACCATCATATATGAGTCACGTGTTTATTTTTGCTTCCGGAAGAATATTTATAGCTCATCTTTCAACACAATTTTACTCAAAATCATGCCCGTAGCTTTTGTCAAGTGCCAACCGTGAGATGGTGATGAGCCATAGCTTTTGTCAAGGCATGGTGCCCGGCTTTTGGGATCGTCCTATCAAAACATCAACGATGGGAGATTTCAAGATCCGCATCTCGAAGCTTCTCTTCTCCTATCCGACGATCCTCTATTCACAAGGCACTCTGTCGCATACTCGCATGGTCGTGGATCTCAATGCAATCAATTCGGGGTGTGAACCTGTGAGGATTTGGGTGGCGACCAAAGCATTGCCATTTGATTTGCCTTAGGAATGAGAAGCATTGTGCAGTCTTGTAGTCAACAAAGAGGGTTAATTGCATGACTGCCTGGCTCCTTCGAGGCTCCGAGTACATTTTGGTGACCGCTTCCTGAACGTAATTAATAAAATAAACAAAGTTAATAAAGAGTTACTCAGAAAATAGCTAAATGATTTTTAAAAGTAACTTCAACCAATTCAGCCAGAAAAATACTACAATCTTACGTATTTTGATTATTATACAATTCAGCGCGCGAAATAAAAAATTACGCACTTCATGAAAAATTGGTTGATAAAATTGATAAGTTATTTTTTTGCTGATAAAATTGATAAGTTAAAAATGGGGAAAATTAAATTCTTTGTTAACCTTTATGCTAACCAAACATACTCTTAATTTTCCCTATTTATTTTTACTCTTTAGTTTATGAATAGTGGCATTAGTGGGTGGGTAATAGACTAACATAATACCGAGTGCGGCGCATCAAATAAATATTTTTTTCAAAATCAGTTGAAGCCGAAATATTCAAAGTTAGGCAGTCCACAGTTAGCTTCTCCACCAACCAACCAACCAAATCTTCCTCCCTTACGTTGAAATATGCTAAGGATACAAAATGAGCCTTTAAGGGAAATGGAACTGGTCGTCTAGTATCAAAAACTTAGGGTTCAAAATGAAATCAAGCATGGTTAAGGCAAGCATAGCTGTGCTGGTGGTAGGTGGGATTTTGGGATGGGCTTATCAGTCACTGAATCCACCACCACCCAAGATCTGCGGTTCACCTGGGGGCCCACCAATCACAGGCCCAAGAATCAAGCTCAGGGATGGCAGGTTCTTAGCTTACAAAGAGCATGGTGCACCCAAGCACACGGCCAAGTTCAAGGTCGTCCTGGTTCATGGCTTTGGTTCTTGCAGGCATGACGCGTCCATTGCTGCCTCGGTAAATAAAGCTTATACATGCTTCAATGTTTTAATTTTCATCATCATTATCATCATAATAATATTTGCATTTAAAAAAAAAGATTATTTCGAAAAGTGTTACTTAAAGCTGTAAACAAAGCTGTATGGACAAAAGCTTCACTAAATTTACTAAAAGTTATGATGATACTCCAATAATTTTGTATAAAGTCACGTTTTTATCCCTATCATCTTTATTTTAGTCATTCATGTGTGATTACTTCAAAAAAAAAAACTTTCCAAATTTCAAATCCACATAGTTTCTAAGTTATCAAAAATTGTGTATATTTTTACTAATCTTCGGTTATATCTTCCAAATTTGGACATACTTTCTAGTTTCTATATACAGTCTTTGCCTGTTAAGCTGACATTCCTTTAAGATGGGAACTTGTTGGAACAGATTATGTTGAAGTTTGTGGGCTTGTGTTTTTGAGGTTTGTGAGGATCAAACTATTTATGAGCTTAATTGACTTTGATATCATTTTATTTTAAAGTTCATAGTAAATAGTTATTTTAGCTCAGTAGTCACTTCCCATTTTTTTTCTTTATCCAACAAAGCCTTTGTCACATTCTTTTAGGTGATCTCTATGGAGAATGAGCTCTGATATATGCATATTTTTTGTTTCAGAAAGCCGCTGATGAATTGGAGGTGTACTTTGTGTCCTTTGACAGACCAGGATATGGAGAGAGTGATCCTGACCCGAATAGGACCATAAGAAGTACTGCTCTGGATATAGAAGAGCTCGGTGATCAATTGGGACTTGGATCCAAATTTTATGTGTTGGGGTTCTCCATGGGTGGGCAGATTGTTTGGGGATGCTTGAAGTACATTCCTCACAGGTAGATTGACATTACCCTATAACTAAATTAAAACAAACCAACAACAACAACATTACCCTAGTGCCGCAACGGCTCCAACCTACGGTGGGGTAAGGGGATCAGTTGTACGCAGCCCTACCCCTGTACTAAAACATAGAGAGTCTGTTTCCGGATAACTAAATTAAAACAATGGATGTATGAAATTAACTGCAAATGAGTCCCACACACATAATGTAATGTAATGTGATGTTCAAGTCAGTTTCCTATAAGATTCTAGTAAGACCCACTTTGTTTTTGGCAGAAAATGAGTTCAACAATCACTATTTATTAGCTCATTGGCATGTCATATGTAAGTTTAACTGTCAGATCATGTCATATGGAAGTTTTACCTAGAATAATTGTATTTTTAATCTTGAATTAATTTTCACTGTGATATGAGTTCTAAAAGTAATAAAGTGAGTATGGGCGGCTATTTCCGAAAAAACATATTATTTGTCAGTTAAAATTGATAGTTGGTACTAATGAAAAAAAAAGTTGAAATGATTAAACAGCTAAAATAGACTTTGGTTTGATTGAAGTTCCACCACTAAGTACTAACTTGAGCATTTCCTTGGTGATGCACTCATAAAATACTAGTGCTTAAAGTTCCCCAAATTTGTGAATAAAGTGGTATAACCATTGTTCATTTATCACTGCAAACACCCTTCTCACTGAAACCACCACAGGTCCACACACACGTAGTAGTTGCCAACTAAATGCTGGGAATGTGGTGGTTTGGCAGGCTAGCAGGAGCAGGACTAATTGCACCGGTGGTGAATTACTGGTGGGTGGGATTTCCGGCAAATGTATCAGCAGAAGCATACCGCAAGGAGTACCCGGAAGACCAGTGGGCTATCCGGGTAGCACACCACGCCCCTTGGCTTGTGTACTGGTGGAACACCCAAACCTGGTTTCCCTACTCAAGTGTCATTGCCGGAAAACACAAGATGTCTCCCCGAGACCGGGAAGTCATATCCAACCTTTTCCCGTTGAGAAAAAATTACAAGGTATGCCTTGAGTATCCTCACATAAATATATGTTTTCAAATATGTTTCGATTACATGGTGTTCCTAAATCTACTATGAGTAGCGGTTAACACCTTAACTGCTACTCATAATTTTGACACATGAGAGACTTTCTAAAAAAACTGATCCAATTCTTGTGCGCTAGTTCCTAAAACAATCTCGTTAAGGTTTCTTAATAGGAATTTTCCATACTTATTAGTTCAAAAGATCCTTTGCCAAACCGCTTACAATATAATCAGGGGGAATAAAAAAACTATCATCACAACCAGACATGGAAACAACTGCTCTAGCTAAACCATGAGTAACTTGGAGTCAGATGCGGTTTAACAAAGTTTATTAAATGTTAGAAACTCATGACCTCTCCTAGTCCTATAAAAAAAGAGAGGTATGTTACCACTGTGGCTTGATGTGGATACAGGAATATGCAATACAACAAGGAAGGTTCGAGTCCATCCATCAGGACATGATTGTTGGTTTTGGGAAATGGGAATTTGATCCAATGGGTCTAAGTAACCCTTTCCCCGACAGGGAAGGCGCTGTTCATCTGTGGCACGGTGATGAAGATGGGCTTGTGCCGGTCACACTGCAGCGCTACATTGCCAGAAAACTCCCGTGGATAAAGTATCACGAAGTTCTAGAAGGTGGGCATCTGTTTCCATATGAAGAGGGTATGAAAGATGCTATTCTTAAGACACTCTTGACAGATGACAGGAGGCAAGTGAGATCAAACAGTGGTCATATCTGAATCTCTATGTAATGCTGCTGTTTTATATGTGTATATAGATCGAGAAATGCTAGAGGTACCCCATTTTCTACCCCATTTTGTACCCCATCCTATATTTGTGGCTCACAAAAATCCAACCCAATTAAAATAATTGCTCCATTTTTACTCATTGCTTTTGTGAACCACAAACATAGGAGGGGGTACAAAATGGGGTACAAAATGGGGTGGCTTTAGCATTAGTGATATAGATCCATCTGTCCCCATTTAAAGTTGATGTATTCATTTTAGGAAAGTTCCTAAATTATTTCCTTATTAGTTGATACAATATCTTATCAATCATAACTACTGCCCCCAAATATAACATAAATTATTAATGGCAAACAATACACTACATTTAGTATTTACTTTGGGCAAAAACAGATGTTTCTGGGAGTCTATTTCTTGAACTCCATTTGGAGCTTTATTAGCGGATTGCGGAAGCATATAAAAAGTAATACAAAATGACAATACTTCACTGGGTATATCAGTATATGTGAGCTAGCTTCATAGTTGGTAGCTAGGCTTGGGTTGGAGCCCTATCCCTGAATTTTTAAAATTAAAATACTAATCAAGAAACAATGAAGTTGTTAGGACAAGAATTTCTATGAACCAAGTAGACAGCTAACTAACTAGTGAGGAGCGAACTTCTTTCTCAATCTATCAACCTCCTTATCACTGAATCCAAAAGCCTTCATCAGCACCTCCTCTCTTATAGAACTTCCAAACACAGCACTAGGGATCTTTACTAACCCGGGGTTCTGGCTGTTGAAACTCCCCAGTATAGTAGCAGGCGAATCCCCAACATTCATCTGAAAGTGAACTAATCCCCTCGGGAACACCATCACCTCTCCTCTCTCCAACACTCTCGCGAAAATCCTGTTTGACGAATCGACAAACCCTGCATAGATCCTCCCCTCCAACACAAACGCCGTCTCAGTGGCCCTGGGGTGCAAATGTGGCACATTTACCCCTCCAGCGTCAAAATCAGCCCGAACAAATGACATGCCTAGGGTGTGTAGGCCCGGGAAAACCCCTGAGTTTACCGGGTTGGATATAAAACCGGTCTGCTTAAAGTCTCCCGGGTTTCTTATGCCCGAATAGACGAAGTCTTCAACGGTGACTAAGGTCGAGTTCTTGCAAGATGGGAAGACTGATGAGAATTCGGGAATTGGGATGCAGTAGTCATGGAGAGGATCGGGATCGGATGCTAAGACTATGTGGATATGAAGGAGAAGAGATAGGAAAATTGTTGTTTTCTTGATCATGGTGGTTACTACTTACTAGTTGTTCTGTCTATGACTCAAGAATGGCCAGGTGAAGATGGGTATTTATTAAGCAACTACTTATGATCTTAGCCACCAAACACGAAACTACATGCATTTTGCTTGCAGGTTATTGGTCTTAAGCGAAAAATTAGGTGATTTATTCTTCTTGCACCAACTGTGAAGTTGTTGGGAATATATATATAATTTGTAGTGTACACATTGAATGAAAGCAAAAGAATTCTTTCGTATATATTTGCAAATCATGTACTGTGCATTGCAAGTAAAGTTCTTTGCTTGCTAATAGAGATACTATCCTGATCCACACCATATCTTAATTCGTAAACTAGTAGCATGCAGGGCCGGTCCTGTCGATTTTCGGGCCTATGGGCGAGATATTATCTTGGGCCTATATTTAAGATACAAAGTAATCTCTCAATATTGATCAACGAAACATGGCCCACCACTTGTTTATTCTCTTCACCTAAATTACATTTATCTGGTTGAATTTCAATATTTGCGACTTTTGCACTTATATCACTATTTCCAAGCATGTTATGATTTTCATTCGCAAAAGAATTTAGCGGCGATTCAACTTGAAAAGAATTTTCGGAAATCAATTTATTAACAAAACAAAAAAAAATTCCATTGCCCCCTTCTTACTTAAGGCTGCATTTTCTAATGTTTATCTGTTTTTCTCTTTTTCCCAATCTTCACAATAGTAAAACTAAATAAGGAATTCCATTTCAAAATTGCAAACTACCACACAAATATGAATTTACTAAGACACTAAAAATGCATCATATAAATCATTAATCATAATTCATAAATTAAAAGAACATTTAGTGGATTTATTATTCATAGCTAGTAGATTAAGAATAATTTACTGGTCGTTGTCAGCTTGTTTGAAGCCTTGACAGAAGAATGTGTTCTAGTCGCCGGCTGCTGTTTGGGCTCCTCAACGCTGACCGCTTTGGCAAATGGCTACTTGCATGCTTGCGGCGCTCTCTAATGTCTACTCTTGTGTAGACGGTCAAAACCTTATTAAATCTTAACCCTTTAGTTCCTTAGATAATTGAGTTTAATTGGAACAAGGAAACCACCATATAGGAGTTTGGGAGTTTGGGATGGGGTGATTTATGAATTGGGAGTTTGGGAGACACATGTGATGTATAGAGAGTTAGAGACAATAAATATTTTGGTAATTTTGTAATTAAAAGAATTATAAACCATAGAGACTTAACTACTCAAAGAGGCCGGCCGCGTGCCTTTTAACATTTGTATTAAAAAAAATTAAATTTTCAACAAAACTAAACCTTAGGCCTAATTACTTGAGCTTAAATACAAAAAAGAAGCCTACTCACACTATGTATAAAGACGAAATTTTGGGCCTATTTTTCCCTAATATTTTTTCGGGCCTAGGACGGTCGCCCCTGTTGCACCCCCCTAGGACCGGCCTTGGTAGCATGTGTTAACAGTGGTTAATGTCATCCTCATTCTCATGTTAACTACTCCGTATGTGTTAACAGCGGCCAGCGGGTCATACAACCTACTGACCTAGGCATTGACCCGGTCCGGTCCTTGCCAAAAAAATGGGAGACCCGGGACCGGCCCAGTATAAAGAAGTCCCAAATCGGGTCGGATAGATTGGTCGGTCTGATCATAGTTTCGGACAAAAAATGGAAAAACAAAAGAATTGATCTTTGGGGACCGGACAAGACCAACCGTTCCTGGTCAAAAAATGCCACCCTTAACTTGTGTAAAGTAAAAGACAATTGTTGACTACCACACAAAACCTTAGTGTAAATTCACATTCCATATAAATTTGATTGAAAGTAATATTTCTCAAAGTAGAATTAAAAAATATTACGTATTGAAATTCTTGAGGAGTGTATTGAAAGACAAAACATATCAATGAAAAAGGTAAAATATCATTCAAATTCTGATTTTTATATGCTTACTTCTTAAATTTAATAATCTCTATACAGTCCTTCTCCCACAAAACCTGGTCATATTTAACTTGCATGTTGAATAATAAAATAAAATTATGTGGCTGAGATTTGTATGAATGAGAGAAAAAACAATTTTAAACACGTACCGAGTATTTGTTACTTTAAATATTGGAAATGACAAGTATTAAGAAGTTCATAAAGTTTTATGGTATATTGGGAATATTCCAAAGATGTCCTTCCTTGAATTAAATTTATTAGGATCTGTTTAAGACTATTAAGTCTGATTCGATAAAGTTTGCTATTGTATATAATTTCATATTTTCATATGATCTCTTATGACCTTTATAATATGATATATTCATATTTATTTCATTTACTGATGCACATATTTGTGTATGTGTATGTGTATGTGAGGTAGTGGAGTACTTCAAAAAAGTTACTCCCTCCGTCCCTAAATGTTGTTCCAATTGCGGATTATGAAGGTTGACCGATGATAAAGTTAAATGATCCATGTGAAAACTCGGATTATTTTTAGTATATAAAATTTACATATTCAGAAACTATATTAAACCCGCTACAAAGCCTGCAAAAAATAATTCAACTTTTATAAAATTTTGATATAAAAAATAAGAGTTTAAGAATGATTTAAGTTGATTCTCGATAAGCAAAATGGAACTTCTTTTATGGACAGAGGGAGTAGAAAAGAATTGGAATAGGTTTGAATTATGAATGATTAATTGGGCCCGAATCATATTTATTCCCTTAGATTTTGGAATTTGGAGCCATACATCCAAAATTTGAATTCAAATACAAACCCCTTCACTCTCCAACCAACCGTCAGCCGCCTCTGCCTAAACAAATACTCTTGCAAACCCTAGACCTCTGTAAAACCTTTCATTTCCCGTTCAAACGCCCGGTGAATCGCCATGGCCAAGAAGAAGATCGCCCCTCGCAAAGAGGAGGACCACGTTGACGCTCAGCTTCCTAGCGCAACAGACAATGGGTTCGGGAAGCTGGAGAGTCTCAGGGACCTTAACAAAGTGCTTCTCAAGGAGACAGCCGAGAAGAGACATTTGGTTGACACTCTCCAGAAGGACAAGTTCTCTTTGGAATCGGAGCTGGCTAGATCCGAGTCGGAGAAGTTGTCTGTGAGTGCAGAGCTGGCTCGCTTGGGTGATAGTGCGGCGCGGTTGGAGCTCGAGAAGACGTTGGAGGCTGTGTTTATCCGTGCCCAGATGGTTCACCAGATGAATGCCATGGAGGAGGGGAGTGTAGAGATGAGGAAAGAAAGGGATGATGCTGCTGAAAGAGTGAAGGATTTAAAGAGAGATATTGATCTCATTGTGAAGGAGAAGAGTGCGATTGAGAAGATGATAGGAGAGAGGGAGTTTGAAATCGAGTCTTTGCAGCATAGACTGAAAATTCAAAATGCTGAAATGGATGCAGAGAGGAACATTTCTATTCAAATAAATTGCCAGAAGGAAGATCTGGCATCAAAACTTGATGTTCAAATCTCTGAGACCAATGCATTGAGAAATAATCTGATTGAAGTAGAGAGGAGAGAGAGGGAACTCATTCACCGAGCTGACAGATTATGGGTTGAATACAGGGCTCTGTTTAATGAAAAAGAAGAGAAAGAGAGGATGCTGCACTCTGTTATGAGTGATAAGGAAATGCTGGAAAGGAGCTTGGTCGATTCAACTCGGATCATAGATGAACTGAATGGAAAAATTGGGGAGATTGTGAGGGAGAAAGTGGCCAGTGAAAAGGAGAGAAATGTTGAAATGGAGAAAAGGCTTGAATTGGAGAATGAAGTGAATTTACTCGATAAGAAGCTCTTGAGCTTGAACAAAATTGTGGATGAATTGAGAGGAAATTGTATCCAGTTGGAGATGAAGTTTGAAGAAAGTGTAGAGAAGGGGAAGGATATGGAAAGGAAAATAAGTGAACTGATGGAAGGGAAGAATGAGAGTGAGAGTAAGATCTCCATGCTGCTTGGGGAGAAGGATTTTATTGAGAAGAGATTGACAGATGCATTACAGGAAGTAGAGGAGAAGAAACAGTGTCTTGAGAGGGTGGTTCGTGAAAAAATGGAAATGACAGAAGCAAGAATTAAAGCGGAAGCTGTGATTGTTAAATTACAGCACCAAATGGGTGAACTTAAGGCTGATCTTTCTGGGTTGGAAGAGTATTGCAAGGTTCAAGAAGAGAAAATGGTTAAATTGGTAGTCGAAGTAGGGAGCTACAAATCCGCATATGAGAGAGCATTGCTTGAGAGGGATAGTGCTACCAAGGGACTTGATATAGAAAAACAGAAAGGTCTGATAATGGATGAGAAGATTCAAGAACTGGAGAATCGCATTGGTGAAGTTTCTCTGGAGCTTGCCAATACTGAGGCTGATTATGCCAAGGCAGTAGACGGGAAGAAAGTGCTAGAAATCAAATATGAAACTCTTAACAATGAGATTCTTTCTCTCCAAGCCCAACTTGCGGAAGCAAGGAAGGAACTCATATCGAAACAGACTAATCTACAATTAGCAGACACAAGCTTAGAGGGTGTTCTGAAGATGTTGAAGATCACAGCAGTGTGGGTTGGTGGGTCATTGAGAGATGACGAGATGGACAACATTTATTCTGAGCATTTCAACGAAAGCCAAATTAGTCCCCATGTGTTTGAATTGGAAGCAATTAAGAAATGCTTTAAGACTAGAGAGATCAAAGTTGAGGAAATGAAGAGGGAAGTTGAGTTCTTGAAGAGCTCTGTTAGGCAAGCAAACAAAAAAAAGAGTTTGTGGGCCCTTTTCTCTTCTGCAACTACAATTTTTGCTGCGATCTCTCTAGCATATGTTGCGCGGGTTCATTGAACTAAGGGGTTTGGCATCATCTTTCTCGTTTTTATTACACTACTATTAGTCTGGTTATCTTGTACTACGTAATTGTCTATCTCTTCATTTTCAGAAATTGTGTTTGTTCTGAGAACCCTTTATTATCCTTGTTTGGAACGTAAAGGCGTGTATGAGAGAGACTAAAGACAGCTAAAGAATCACTTCATTTGCCAATAAATGCTCTTCAAGTTGACTAGATTATATATTTAGTTTCAAGATGCGAATAGCACATATTTTTCTCAGGTTTTGGACTTTTGGGCATG